TCAGCGAGAAAACCACCCCCCTAGCCCAGCCACGCCGCTGCTGAGGTGTCTGCATGGCAGTGCCTGCTGCTGCAGAGGCGCACCCACATGCTACACTGCTCTTTGAATCTTCTGGGAAAATCTATTTGGATGGTTTGCTTCCTAGTGTATATGGTTTTTCACTTCTTCTTATAAATATTGATAAATAATTTCCAGCTCACGTGGACTTGAGAGGAGGCCAGCTGGGCCAAAGATAGTTACTGGAACAGAAAGTCGATTGTTTTAATAGCAAGGCAAGTTACATGCCTAAGTAATGTGGCTTATGGTAGAGGAAAATGAGAATATACTGGAGTTAACTTCAGTTACTGCAAGAGAATGTTTTGGATGTTCTTCTCTGGTGCCTTCCAGTACTGTGACTGCAGCAGCAGGTGGCCATGTACTCCTTATGGGTTACCTGCTTGCAAATCTTTCTTCCACTTTTTTCGTTACATACAGATATCTGACTCCACTCTGCACGCATTCACGTTTTCATCCTCGATGCTAGGAGAAGAGGTTCAACTGCATTTTATAATCCCCAAGTCCAAAGAGAACCATTTTGTCTTCAGCAAGCAGGGAAAACATCTCGAAAGCATGCGTCTCCCACTCGTTTCTGACAAGGTGCGTGTGCTGCTCTTACCCATCTGCTGACTACATGTGCTGAATGCAGCCAACTTGACATACATTTGTAAGTCAGTGGCGGTTGGCTCGGGTTTTTTTTCTGTTTTCTTTTTTGTTGTAAAGTCCTTTGCGTTATTCTTGCCCGACTGTCCTCAGAACTGGAGTTTTTGAGGACAATCATCCCATTTTGCATTCCTAGTGTCCAGCTCATATGTGTTGAAATGATCGATAACCTTAAAATCCAGTATAAACAAGGAATAAATAAAAATCTTACTGGGAATAACCTGCTTTTTACCTAAAGTTGCCAAAATATCTCCTGTTCCAGCAGAATTTGAATGCAGTCAAGAGTCCCATCTTCACTCCATCGAGTGGACGTCATGAACATGGCCTCTTGAACCTCTACCACGCCATGGAAGGCATCAGCCACCTTCACCTCCTTGTAGTCAAGGAGTATGAAATGCCGCTCTACCGTAAATACTGGCCCAACCACATCATGCTTGTCCTGCCAGGCATGTTCAACAACGCTGGCGTTGGTAAGAAACACCATCAGTGCATTACTGTGAAGTTACCAAAATCCATGTTGGACAACGTGGATCATGTTGAAGGAAACATTGCAGCAGCTCCTCACATCCGTGCTGTGATGATAGCAGCAATATCTGTGCAAAATACGATGTGTAGGAGCTGCTGTTAGGGGCATGGAATATATGTTTGTATTGATCACTGCCTCCTCAGTTTAAAACTGGATGTTTTATAGGGCATTCTATAGACTCATTCTCGAGTGTTCATTCTAGAGGTTTTACACGTGATTTTTCAAATTGCAACTATTTTAGTTAGCTGAAGCTAAGTATTAACTGCAGCTGAACACCGGGGGCTTGAACTCTGGACTTCATTTTCATGGATGTGGAGTTTTTCCTGCCAGAAGTTTTAAGTAGCTTCAGTTTTAGAATCTCAGCCCCTTCTTGGTTCAAGTTACTTTATTAATGCTCACAAAATCGTGTTCTGCAGAGCCTCTTAAAAGGTCTGGTCTTCTTGGTACCTGCCTTTTAGATTTACTCACACTAAAAAAGGGACTTACTGATTTATTTTTAAACTAAGATGTTACAAGCACTAAGTTCATAAAGGGTACTGACTGCAGACGTTCATGTAGCCTTTCTCTGGGAAGAGAGAGTGATAAAGTCTAATAAAGATCCCTGTATGTCGTCTTCATGGTATTTTCTCAGGTGCTGCCAGGTTTCTTATTAAGGAACTTTCCTACCACAATCTAGAACTGGAACGAAACCGCTTGGAGGAACTGGGAGTCAAGCGCCAGTGCGTGTGGCCATTCATCGTGGTCATGGACGACTCCTGCGTCTTGTGGAACATGCACAGTGTCCATGAGCAGTCGAGGTAAGCAGCCACCCGGCGCTGGGGGCCCTGCGCTGATCTGGCACAGACAGCAGCACGCTGGCGGAGTAGGCTCATCTCTAGCATCTGACGGGGTATGAAAGACCAGGCAACTGGAAAAGTTGGGCAGCTGGAGCTGCTGGTGACATCCTTGAAATACTGCTATGCAAAAGCAGCTTTCAGCAGCAGCTTTGATGTAATAACACCAGGCTGCCTGTTCAAAGGGCCTCACAGAGGCCATTATTCACTCAATTATTATTCAGAGAGCCCAGGAACTGTATACTTGGACATTAGATGTATTGTCTAAAACGCAAAAAATCAGCTCTGTTACTCGGAGCAGTAGGAAGAAGGTAGCAGTAGGTCTTGTTGACCACCAGCATCCAACCTCCTGCTGTCAAACACTTCCACCTGGAAGTGGACGCCACGCACTTCCACCTCTACCCTTGCATCCGTGTCCCAAAGTCAGTACCAGCAACAAACCTCTGCTGGTGCTTGTTCTTTGCCTAAAGCCACTCTTGCTTTTAGTGACTATTTGAATGATTTCTCAATATGTTACTTCCCTGAATTGTTTTGATTCAATTTATGTTTCTCAATGAAAACAGTTTATTTTGGGAACTTCAGCTTTTTAGAAGGCATTAAGCTCTTGCTCTTCTCAGTGCTTAGCTGTCCAGTACAGAGAAAATAGCCTTCCAGAAATGGTGCATAAGGCGACTCCTTCTCCCTTTCTAAATTGCTTTGTAAGACCTTATTCTGCTGAAAGGCCAATTTTCTTGTGATGACTAAATTGATGGGATAAGATTAGTTGGCTGTGGTTTAAAAAGCCTGTGTTCATGTATATATTTTTAAAGCATCTCAATTGTTAATGGAATTTCTTTTTCCTTCATATACTCATATATGTGCATAAATATGCGGTGCATGTTATATAAAAACAATAAGCCATGTTTATATGTTGTGTACAATCACATTTTGCAGCCAGTCCCTGGAGCCTGGGGGTTCCAGCAAGAATGTGTCTCTGAAGAGTGTCCTCCAACACATTGAAGCCACCCCCAAAATTGTTCATTATGCAATACTGGGTGTTCAGAAATGGAACAGCAAGCTGAACGCCAGGAAAGCGAAGGCTCCGTTCTCCAGGTGCCACGTGCGTGATTTGATACTGCTCAACATAGACCTGACCCAGAACGTGCAATATGATCTAAACAGGTAGGCAATATATATATATGTGTAGGCAAAATAAGATGCTGGCATGATAAGAATCTTGTCACCATATTTCTAAATGCTGTCATGATAAATAGGAGGATCCTGTGTAAGGTAACAAGCACACAATTGCAAAAACAAAACACAGGGTGATATATGCTGCATCTGAATGAATAAAGTATCAAAATAAACTTACCATCAGCCAAAAGAATGGGGAGAGACAGACCGCAAGGCAAGGGTGAGGGAGGGCTACAGAGGACTGAAAAGGCAGGGGGGAAAGAAGAAACATCAGGAGAAAAAAGTAACTGTGAGACCAAAAATAGAAGAAAGTGTGGAGCTTCCAGAGCACCTCTGTAAGAGGCAGGAACAAAAGTATAGGTAATGGCTGCGCCACTGCTACATCAAATGCCATGAGGAGGGATTCCTTCAGGGTCAGCTGTCCTGGTTGCTGCTTGGGTTTGCAGTAGAAACAGATGAACAAACAACTTTCCAGTATTTCCTTCCCTTTTTCCCCCCTCCTCCGCACCTAACTCCATCCTAGAGCATCTGCAGTAAAGCACGGTTATCGTGGGGTTTCACCTCTAGTTTTCATCACAGACTGAAGCAGTATCCACTTCCCCCTCTCCCCGGCCAAGCGGGTTTAGAACAAACCCTGTCTCTGCCGGCCACCAGTCTCTGCCAGGACTCTCACCCTGGTCTCCTGCTGCTGTTTTCAGGGATCCCGTGTATTTGGGTGAGGAATTGTAGCCTGTCAGTGCAAGCTGGGGCCTGGTGTGGCTTCCAGAGCTCTTGATTTCACATTCTCCCACTGGTTGAATCATGAGATGGGAATCAGCCTACAGAAGTGAGCAATTACATCGTAAATAGCACGGGATAAACGTGTCTTCTCAGCTGCTTTGTCTCCCCTGGCCAAATACTTGTCAAAGCCACAGTTATCCCCTGATTCCAGTTCATCAAAAAATATGTCATATGGAACTGGCTTGTTCAGAAATGGAGGTTGGTCACTGCAGAGCTTCTCTCAGTTCTAAAATATATATGTATTTTATATATATGTATTATATATTTATATATATATACACACCTAAAAATAATTTAAAAAAGGAAAGGGCAAGGAAGAAACTATTGATGCCAGTACGTGATAAGGACAAGAGGGCTCACCAGACTTGGTATGGGGAAGAAACACACAGATGCACTGAAAAATAAAGATCTCCAAAAGTCTCTGCTGAGCGCCATTGCGGTGCGTTTCAGCAGCAGGTGCGTGAGTGCCTGCGCAGGCACAGCAGCCACACAGCCGGTTTAGTGATCTTGTGTTTAACGTCCAGGTATTTCTGTGAAGATGTAGATTTCAATCTGCGGACGAACAGCAGCGGCCTGCTCATCTGCCGCTTCAACAACTTCAGCGTCATGAAGAAGCATATTCAGGTTGGAGGACAAAAGGACTTTGTCGTTAAGCCAAAAATCACGGTGAGTGTGGATGTATACGTCCTACGTAAAGGGTAATATCAGGACCTATTTCCCCTAGCAGTAAGGGATTCTCTAGCCCTTCAGATTTATTTAGTGCTTATTTGACATTCATGGCCTACTCCATGGTAGGGCTGCCATATCAGAAACAGAAAATAATAAAGATTTTGCTAATTATAAATTACTAACTATAATCCTCCTGATCTATTAGAAGGTGGACTGGGATTGGAAAGAGTTTGGTTTAGCTGTTCACTGGTATCGCTGACGGAGGAAGGATTTGCAGACAGACACACTCTCTGACCAAAAGCAGGCGAGTTGTACTGGACTAGCTTTAATAACTCTGTCACAGCCACGAGTTTCCAGCGTTCGCTGGTTTGTGATGACTTTCAGGCCTTGCGCTTGCTGACAAAAGGGAGAGGCCTGAGGGAAGGCACTGAAAATTGCAACCTTCTGAAATCCACCTGGGAAATCCAAGCACTTACAAAAATGATGTGGGTTTGCCGAGTGTTTTATACAGAGTACGTTACACCTGCACCGGCTTTAAATGGAGGCGTATTTCAAAGGGTTGAGTGTTTTAATCTTGGAATCTTATCATTTGTGTTCCTGGTGGTTTTAAACACATCCCACGCCATCCCTCTTTTAAAAACTCACCCCTGTATTTCAGATTTAACTGACTAAACCCCGGATTTGAGTATTTTGGGAGGTCATTTTCTGAATCTTCCTTGTCTTGTGGTTGCAGTGGAATCGGTAGTGACGGACCGGCCTATGAGAAAACTCCATAGAAAACGTTTTCTGTGGATGACTCCAGACAAGGAGGATGTCATTCCCTGTACTGTCCAGGAGTAAGGCAGGATGAAGGGCATTTGTGACAATTTGGCCTCCCTGGTTTATGTCCCTTCTTCAGGCGAGCAGATACCCACAGAAGTACTTAGCAACCACAGCACAAGAAATTCATGTATTTCTGTGCTGTGGTGTAAAATCGAGTGGGGATTTTTGATCCTTTCCCCCAGCTTTCTCTCTCCTCCTGCCCTGTCATGGTGATCCCTTCCCCAGCTGGAGGAGCTCCTGCAGAGAAGATGATAGACTGATTAGGTGGGTTAAAAGGGGCTCCCCTTGGTGTCATTGCAGGTGTCGGACAGCCTGGCACCAATAATGCCTCTTCAGTACGTCTGTGCCCCTGACAGCGAGCATACATTGTTGGCAGCCCCCTCTCAGTTCCTCCTGGAGAAATTCCTTCAACATGCGACGTACAAACTCTTCCCGAAGGCCATTCATAACTTCAAGAACCCGGTGTTGGCCATTGACTGCTACCTGAACATCGGGCTCGAGGTACAAGATGTTTGCAGGGATAATGGGGACGAGTAAATGCAAACCTTTACTTCAGCGTCTTTCTTGTGTTGAAAACCCCCTCTTTCATGAACCCTCAGTATCAAGGGTAGCGTTTGAAGACTTCGGTCTCAAACAGCGAGACTTTGCTGTTGGAGCTAAAGGACCAACTCCGCCAGAAGAGCTGGTGGTGCAGCCTCCTGGCTGACTGCTGTGGGTAGAGACCAGAGGTCTGTGACGGGTTGATGTGATTTACAAAGGAATCGGGCACGCCCGTCTGAAATAATATTTCATATGAAGCAAAAATCCAAAAGCGATGCCATTCTTGACAGAACTCGGTGTGCTGCACAGTCTGTACAAAACCTATCCACAGCTTTTTTTAGATCATTGCCCTATCGTACTGCTTTTTATTATCTGTGTTTGATTTGCCCTTGCAGCGAACTTGTTGTGGCTGAGAGAGTTTCTGATACGACCCTTGCCTGGTGGCTTGCTTCACTGACGGCCGAAGCTCATCCTTTGCAATGCAGCTCTCTTTTTAGATGCATTTCTTGTTATGAAGCCAGGTTTCTAGGGAAACTAGCTTTTTGCCAGGATGTCTTAGATGCCTGTAGGTAGGGAGATGGGAATTTTTGAACCCATTGGTCAGTTTGAACTGGGTCCGAAGCAGGGTGAAAAATCTAACAAGGGTTTTGTTCTGACAAATTATTTTATGGAGGTCTGTGGCAAGACAGAGAAGAAACCCTTTGCGACAGAACAGCCATCACGGCACTGAAACACAGGAGAGCCCCAGTGCCGGGAACCACTTAGCTGAGGCTTGCCGTTGGCAAGAGAAGATGTGCACCAGCACAGAGGAGCTCAAGCTTCAGTGGTTTCACTACTTGTGGAATTGCTTACTGTGTTTGACAAATATATCCTGATTAGAACAACCCAAATAATCTTAAGTCGTTACAAGCAGGAAATTCACAGAGAAGCAGAAAATCCAACTGAATTACGGAGAGCCCTGAAATGACGTATTGCAGGCTTGGTGACCAAATCCGAATCTAGAAGTTTGTCCCACGGGTTATTTCCTAGGGGGAGTTTGCTCAATACCGTGTTTTCGTTGGATTGCGTTTTTACCAGCACCAGCTGACTCGCCTGTTGTCACTAACCTAGATTCCGTTCCACTTAAAGTCTTTTACTTAGGCAATTTCCTAGCACGGAAGTGCTTCCTTTCTTTTCCCCTTCTGTTTCAGGTGGCTATCTGCTATATTAGTTCCCGCCCGCACTCGGTCAACGTCAACTGCGAAGGGGTGTTCTTCAGTGGACTTCTGCTCTATCTCTGCGACTCCTTCGTTGGTGCAGACCTCCTCAAGCGTTTCAGGTTCCTGAAAGGTAATCTCATTGCTCGGCTGGGCATGCCGGGTGCTTTCCTGCCGAGTAACAGCAGGAAGGAAAAGGTAGAGGAATAAGCAGCTTCATGGAACAGCTCCGTTATTTTCACAGTTAGTGCTGCTATTCTTTTCAAAAGAAATTCACAGCCTGTTTCTTGAGGAAGTGTGTAAGACTTCCGTTCCTGTTGGTAATAAGTGTTGCTTGGGCAAGGGGCGGTTTCTTCACAAAAATGGGCAATGGATGCCTGGTAGGAAGGGCCTGCCCCTGCCCAAATCATGTCAGTGCATGGGCTGCAGCACAGAACAGAGGAAGCCCTGAAGGTGTGCGGCTCCCCTGCTCATTAAATGGCTGCACAGCCTGGTAACGCCCGGTGGAAGGAAGCTTGCACGTTTGTTAAGCCAGAGAAATTAGGGAGTTGGTTTATTATTCCTCTTACAGTGCTTTACCAAGGGGAAGCGCTCCCATACTTAAGGGAAGTTACAGCAGACTTTCTCAGGAGTCAGCTGGGGGACTCACTGTGGTTTGGCTTAGTAGAGTTTCCTCATTGACCTTGTACAAACCAAAATGTCCCACAAACCAAAAAAAAAAAAAGTAGGCTTTATTCTGTTGGCATAATTATCAGTAGGATAATTTAAAGATCTTTGATTCACGTCAACATACTCCTTGCTACGCTTGGTGATACCAACACCCGTGCTGCAGAGCGGACCCCACACCACGCTTGCTTCTCCCTGCAAATGGACACGCGTGCCTCGGTCCCGGGGCTGACCCGAGCCTAGCCGGGCCGGCTGCTGATGATAGGCCCTACGCAATAGCAGAGGTTTCTTTAAAATATCTTTGGAAAATGAAGGAAGGAAATAGCAGTGTTGTTACTGCACTGTTGAATCTAATGTGTTTTTAAATTGCAGGTGCCACCCTGTGCGTCATATGTCAAGACAGAAGCTCGTTGCGGCAGACAATAGTCCGCTTGGAGTTGGAGGACGAGTGGCAGTTCCGACTTCGGGATGAGTTTCAAACTGCTAACAGTAGTGACGACAAACCACTCTATTTTCTTACTGGACGCCATATATAAGCTTTGCAAAGACACCGCTAACAAAGAAAAAAAAAAAACAACAAACTAACTACTTGGGTTTTTTTAAAAAGTACAATCACTGTGGAGCAAAGTGCAACCAATATTTATCTAGACTGCTCTGAAGGATTCCCCCCAATTCTGAAGTAGGCTTCATTCCTAGGGATAAAATTACCACATCAGTTACGACTTAAAGGATCCTGGATTCAAGTTATTTTCACGTCAGTCACAACCGTCGGCACTAACTGCACAGCCGAGCAAGCTGTGGGAGCTGGGAAGAGGACGTAATTTGGTTGGAGAAGAATTCTTTTTATATTTAGCCGAGCTAGAGGAAGAAGCTGCTCTCGGCGGCTGCTAGCGTGAACGTGTTACACGAAACACAGCCCAGCACGTGGAATTTACGGAAGATGTGTGGAGGAGAGCCCGCCGTGTGTCTCTTCAGCTCTGTACCGTGGTACAGGAATACTCAGGGGTTTGAAACTAACGTAGCTATTTGTATTAAAAGGAATAGCCTTGTTCTCTGTGCAGTGTTAGTTTAAAATTTGTAATTGTGTATGTACTGAAACTGTCTTTGGCAAAATTTCCACAGGCGTTCAAAGTTTACTACTTAAACCTGAACAAATCGGCAAACGCGCGGCAGGCACTGTGCACCCCGGCTCCCCCCGCACCCTTATTTCACCCGTGAGGTACCTCCTCCTCCTCGGCTCCAGGGACGAAGCAGGCGGCTTCTCCTGGATGCTTTCGCTTCGGTTAGAGGGCAGAAGGACTTGCCCGCAAAACACCCGGGGTTTCTCCCTCTCGTCAGAGCTTTGAAGCCCCGCGGCCCGTCCTCCTTTGCCGATGGAAGCGAGTCGCGCTGCCGGCCCGGTGCCGTGGTGGTGGGCCGCCGGCAGCTGACGCTGGGTGTCCTTTTCACTCAACTCCAGTCGGCTGCAGCGCTGAGCTTAGGCCCGTCCCGTCAGACCCATAGGTGACTCAGCATACCAAAACACCGCACAGGACGGCAACGCTGCCTGAGTGGGATTTGAGAGGGGAAAAAAAGTGAAAAACGTGTGTCCAAGTGAAACAGGAGGTGTTTTACAGCAGCTGCAGGGGGGGGGAGCGGGGAAGGAGTCCCGGGGGCTGGGACAGCGCAGGAGAGACTCCCTCCAGAAGCCTCGACTGCATCACTGAACATAGTCAGCCCTTTATTTTGATGAACCGGCCTCTGTACCTACTGGTTGTAGCGGTGGTCGGGCATGGTTCTACTTAGAGGCGCGTGTTGGGCTGTTCCGGAAGGAAGTCGGTGCAGTAGCTTTTGGTTGCCAGGGTTAAAGCGTAGCGGGACTCTGTCCTACGCACACAGTTAGCGTGGGTGACCCCAAGGAGGTTTCCATACCAAAAAAAAAATAAAAATAATAATCTTCCTGCACATTGTGACCCTGTTATTAGAAAGAAAAGCGCAGCGTTGATCTTAAAAGTGATTTGGGAATATCGATTTGCTCCCCAAAAAGCAATGAAATTAACACAACCTTATACTTGACCTGCAAGTCGCTGGAGCAGGACCTGCCAAAGCTGTGTTTTATTTTTAAGGCATAGTGTTAATTAAGCAACTTTTTTTTTTTTTTTTTTTTTATCTTCTGAAGACAGATGTTTACAGATGAAAAACGTAATATATTCGACGGAGGCTAAAGGCAAATGGTTTGCATATGTCTGTGTTGATGTAGCGCAACTCTGATGCTGTAAATTTAGCAAGTTTCAGACAAACAACCCATTTCTGTGAATTTATTTTTTATTTTCCTTCAGACACAACCTGCCTTATCTATTTTAACACTTGGAAGGAGTAGGGATATCGAAGATGCTTCTTGAAGCTTTTGATAGGCACCGGAATGTATTCCGGTGGTTCTGGTTTCACCAGTAGGGCTTAAGGCCAACCCTGAGGCTTAGGCTGGTGTAGAAGTTTCAGGTCTTAGGTGTTCAAAAACCGTTTCCTTTTCGTTTGCGTGTTTGATGTTTGCACTAAGTTCTTAAAATCCCAGGTGCTGAGACTGCGCTGAGGAGGCAGCCCGCCGGTGGAGCAGTGCAGAGCTGCCCCGGGGGCTGAGAACGCAGTCAGAAAGTCAGCGTCTCTGCCTGCCTTTCCCAAATAATGGTAAACCCAGTTCCTTACCTCTCTCCCGTGCGGCAGCAAGGAGCTTCGGTACCACTCTGGCCAGAGCGTCCCGAACCAGCTCAGCAGGTGTAGGCCTGTCCCACTGAAACGCTTTATCTGGCAGCCTGGGAATTCCTGGGAAGGAGACTGTTACTGGACATCTGGATTACTGCTGTTCCGGTTTGGGTTTCAGCCTCACCACCAAGGCCATTCTTATGAATGTATTAACTTGGCCAGCATCACATTTTACCTGTAGATGTTCTTGTCTATTCACAGGTTAAATCTGAATGTAAACTACGATTTAAAGAATCATATGCAGAGGCTTTTTTTTTTTTTTTTTTTTTTTTTGCTTAACTTATGTAATTGCTTTTTGTGACTTTCGGAAGAGGGTTAAAGTGTTGCTTTCCTAGTGTAAAGTTTTCTTAACCAAAAACTTGGTGAATTTAGCTTCACTAGTCAGTCTACCTCATGTTATTGTTTATGAACTGAAACTGTCTGAAGTCGTGGCTATGGTATGTTTATAATGTGCTTTCATTAAATTTGAATATATTAAGTTACCCTGTAAGCCTGCCTCTCTTAACCGCCGCGTTGCCCAGGACGCTCGCTCTCGCTCTCACCAGACGCAGCAGTGCCTGCCCCGGAGAGACCCCCGCTCGCTGGTTTTGGGAAGCGTTGGCGTGGTGTGCTGCCAGCCTTCCAGCTCCTTCTGGGTGCTTGGGCTCTGGGGGAGTAGCTCTGTTTCAGGCAGACACGAGGGACACGAGCTGTAAATGCCAAATTTAACACACACACCACCCCCCCAAGTGTCAGCAGTTGAAAAACAGGGCTTGGTCTGGCCGCGCTTCAGTATTGTTCAGGCAAGAACTTAAGCACAGCAGAAGCCCCCCGGCACTTCCCGCTTTCCGAGCCCACCGGAGGGGATCACCTTTACCTCTTCTGTGAGCCCGCACCACTTCTGCGACAGAGCCCTTCACAGGCTGCTCACGATCCCCTTGAAAATAACAAGCTGCAGCTTGGGAACGACAGCCCCTACAGCCCAGCATTCAGCACCGTTCAGCTACCTCTGTTTGAGGCACTCCGAGTAACATTCCGGAGGTGGTGCGAGCTCTTTGCTTTAGCTCTAGACCAAGGCAAGGACAGCACGATGCAAACAAGCTTATCTTAACTGCGCCTAAGTTCCCAAATTAAACCGTAAGTAAGTTTAAATTTAATTAAATCTTGCCCCTATTAGGGTTTTAAGCTACTATGCGAGGCTGACAGCATCACCTCTCACCTCAGCGTAAAGCCTGCACCCGGAGGGTATTGATCCGGAGCTACTGGGAAGCTGATCCAAAGGTGCTGTCACAGAGGGAATTCTGGCCCCCGCAGGTAGGAACGCAGCGACTGTGGCCTCCAGAGACTGCTGCCAAACACAGGCTGCAGTATTTCACCCGCAACAGTATGAAACGCGCTGCAGACTCATTCACACTTAGCGTCAATGCAGAGTAACTTTAGAAAAGCTATCAAGTATTTTATTTTTAACCTATCTACATTATGTACAGATCAAGAAAGGCCACAGCAGTTTTTCAACATACAAACCCTTTAAAAGAGGAGAGCTTTAGGAAGGAGTGACAAGTATCAAAGTGAAGTCCGCTAACAAAGGTATATACCCAGTACAGCACTGGAAGTGACGAGTACACCGCTCCTCGGGGGTTGCGTTCCGCCTTTCACTCTACACTGACCTGGGGGAGAAGGGGATGGGGGCAGAACACGTTTCGGCCGCCGCTGACACCCAGTAGGGCTCCATACGCCTCGCAGCGTAGGGACCTCGCCCCAGAAGCCACCGTAGAGCCTGTGAGGGTTACCCCCAGGAGGACCGCACCGTAACGCCCCCTGCCGCGATGCAGCCGAGCACAGCCTCCAGCTCTGCCAGCCAGCAAGCGCCAGGGGCCTCGCCCAGCGGCCGGAACTGCCGGCAGGAGACCAGCGCTCCGCTCCCGGGAGGCACTGGTATATCACCACGTTAAGAACTTCAGCACGTACTCGTCAGTGAGACTAGAGTCTTTGCATTAGTTTACAGTCCACTATGAACAATTTTCTGCTGCATGTAAACATGACTAACTAGATAAAATACAATCAAACTTCTGTAAAAGTTAATAAAATATCTTTCTTTTAAAAAAACAAAGTTAGCCTATTACTGCATTGTTTACAATTTTAATAAAATAGTACAACCTGTCGGTTGTTACCAGTCCTGAGTTCACTGTAGTAAAAATGGCCCTGGCTTCTGCTGAAGGTCTGCACCCACTCAGTACGTTTTGGCAGAAGTCTCCCAATAAAAACGGAATTCCTTCGGGAGCGGTTAAGTCTGGTGCTGTCCATTGAGGAAGTTGTATACCAGGAACTGGCCGGTGCCACAGTACTGCGTTGCAAAGAGTTTTCCGTCAGGAGTGGGGTCAGAGAAAGCGATTTCTTCTTTGCTTAAGTATGAGCCATATATGAAGTTGCTCCTGTTTAAAGGGGGGGGGAGGGGAGAGAAGAAAAAAAAAGAAAAGAAAAAAAAATTACCCTCAGGGAATAATGCAAGAGTATTTACGCTCCTGGGCCACAAACCATTAAGTGGCACGGACACTGAAAAGGAAGAAGCTCTCTTCAGAGGAGATAGCCGTGTGTATGTGATCGATCTCCTCCTTCCGAACGGCAAGGAGGATCACTCGTTCTAGCAGGGGTTCTACAAGGTTTTGGTATTTTAGAAGAAACGTTCGTACAATTGCTTATGAGTTGCATCAAGAGTTCAATTTCAGTTTTAAAAAAAAAGAAAGGTTTGAATTCATTCCAACTATTTCTTCACAGAAAAGAGACTGCCAGGACTATGACTACAGTCGCTGGGAATGGAAACACGAGCAACAAACAAGTTAGGGTGCTTACAGAGGGGGCTGAAAGGCCCCGATGAAATTTCAAGTTCCTGGTTTGAAAAAGACATTTGACACTGGGATGACAGCACATCTTGGGTTACTTTAGAACATCTAAAAACACAACCTCAAGGCGTGATTCATAGGTGATACGCTTTCAGTAATAACTGTACGAAAAGTCAACTGGCTTAACTTCTTCATGAAAATATTTTATGCATGTTTTATTCTTATTTGAAGAAAGAGGAGAGAAGCGAGGGCTACCATTGTGCTTTTCTGGGTGGCTATGGGAGCAAATTTAGAAAACTGATCTCCGGCTTTAGGACCTCGATCAGGGGAAGGAGCAGGTAACGTTTATCCTTGGGAACAGAAGAAACTCCCATTAAAGTTGAGGTTTTTAATTCCTATAAAATAAACTCGCGTGTACTTGCAGAGCAAGTATGAACTTCGATCATATGGACATCTCCAT